CTCTCTCACAGAGAGAAAGCTGTTGCCTGCCATTTCAGCCAGACTGATCATTCACTTAATGACCTTAAAACATGCATATTGCTTCAAAGAGACTAACTCCAGACTTCAACGAGAAGCTTCAGAACTGTCATTCATGCTTAAATGTGACACTTTATGTATGGGTTTAAACAAAGACTCTAATTATCTCACCCATTACAAAGATAGCTTCCCCAATTATCACCCCTAACATCATTACCTCACAGAAACTTACCTTCCTCCCTCACCCCCACTCTGTTCTAAAACGCGTTCACTTTTTTTTTTATTGTATCACTTTGGTATATATGGTTGTGCCGATTTTCTTCCACATATTGATCTGAGGAAGTGGGTCTGGCCCACGAAAGCTCATCACTTAATAAACCATCTTGTTAGTCTTTAAAGTGCTGCATAGTCCTGTCTTTTGTTACAGAGACACACACACACACACACACACACACACACAGAGAGAGACAGGAAGAGAGAGACAGCCTCATATAGCACAGGCTCTCTAATTGACAAAGTTTGTCCCCCCTTCTTTTTCTGCTTTAAATTTGGGGTTCCTGTCCCTTTTGCTCCACTCACCCGAGGAAGTGGGTTTTGCCCACAAAAGCTCACCTTAGTCTCCAAGGTGCTCCAGAGCAACTCTAGAGGAAGTGGGTTTTGCCCACAAAAGCTCACCTTAGTCTCCAAGGTGCTCCAGAGCGACTCTATTTTTTTTAATAGTGATAGAGATGTAGTAGCCGTGTTAGTCTGGTGCAGCTGAAACAAAAAACAGGACTATGGAGCCCTTTAAAGACTAACAAGATGGTTTATTAGGCGATGAGCTTTCATGGGCCAGGCCCACTTCCTCAGATCAAACTTATTTTTTTTTTCAGTTTTTTTTTTCAAATAAACTCTGTCGACCGGACATTTTAAAGAGTCCTGCAACTGTGGCAATTCACATGTGTATGTGAAAAAATTTAGTTTTTGAGCACTTCTATTTAGGACCCCAGGGAGGAATAAAGGATCATATTTTAACGTTGCGCAAGAACCCAGCTTTTAAGCCGTCCACTGTATATTTTTGCCTGGCCCATGCTTTCAGATCCAAGCAGAAAAATGTGGCTGGTTGGGGAAAGGTTAGAACAAGTATTGCCTTTTCTTCTTAAATCACAACACACTTCTCTTTAGGATTCCAATGGTTTCCTTTTGGAAATGAACCTGTTACTTTTCAAGTCATCTCCTTCCTTCCTTCTTGTTAGTTTCCCCCCCTTCATATCATTTCTTTCCTTTTGGACCACAAGAAAGAGACTAGTCAGTTTTATTTAGATAGGATTTTTTTTTTTTAAATAGGTTTGCTTTCAAATTCACATGCTAGAACAGTGTGGAGGAATACTGTTAGTTATGACAATCATTTTAAAAAAAAAAACCTCCTGGATTGCTCTTAGGTTTTGTAGAAGATCATTACCAAATCCTAAATTTGGGACCCATTTTGACCCGACAGTACCTCTTTAAACAAAGAAAAAAAATAATTCTTAATTATGATCTGTTAAAATGAATGGCACATAAACATTGACATGTCCCAGCTGTGGGCCAAGGCGTTATGTGTCATGCAGTACTACAGAAAGAAGAAATGGGTTAGAAATGTTATCTGACGATGCCCCTTGGAAGAGGTGAGTTTAATTTCTGGGTCCTCACTCTAAAAAACAGATCAGAAAGAGCGCGATTAACTCAGACTTGGCACAATTTGAGAGTGGGAGATTAAGACACAGTTTGCGTTGTGGCAAAATTGCGCACAACACACAATTTCTAAGTTCAGTGGTTTTCTGAAGACTTAAATTCGGAAGGACAAAACTGGACAAAACTCACTGTCTATATTGAGCTAAATCTAACTGAAAAGCAAGAGAAGGGTGTGGAAGGCACAGTCTTGGATATCACCAGCCTTTACAAAGCAAATAGCATGTGCCAACAATTCTGTACCGACGCAGAATTGTGAGACAATGTTAAAATCCTTCAATTTCCTTTGCCGTATCTGGAGTAGTATTTTGTCCACAGAAGAACCTTTTGCGTGTGGTTTTGCAGATGACATGTACACAACGCAACACAGACTGAGGAACATCTCGGGGTGAACAAGCGGAGAACTTTTTATAACATTTCATTGCTCATTAACAGCTCGGTAGCAAAGACAAAGCTAGTCGGGCGATACTTATGCTTCCGATTCAAAACCAGAGATGTAGGCTATAAAAGAAACAGTAAAAAAAAAAATTTTGCAAATCACACACTTTATATTTAATATATTGGAACAAAAATAGTTAAGAATGCAGGAACCGTTTTACAGATTAAAAAAATATTTTAAACCATCTGATCTTAAAAATAGACAAGAGTCGTGAAAGCTTAAAATACAACCCCGCGTGTTAAAAGGTTGCCAGTGATGTCGCCTGGGCTCATGTGGTGCGTGTCCGGCGTGGCCACATTGCTAGTGAGAGAATACTTCAGTCGTTAAAAAGGGGGGGTCGGTAAGAGTCGCTCGTTCACAATCCAAATCCACCACCGTTTTGCCTTTGAGGGCCGTTCCTGGGCATTCTGGATGCAAACTTTCCCGTCCCTCGGCGAGTCGGGAAGCCGACCGGGCCAGGGACCCGCTCTGACAGCCGTTGGTCTGCGAGCAGACGTTGCTCACCTTGGTGGCTTTATTTTTCTGGGGATTGTTGTAGACTTTGTACTTCATGAGAAGAATGAAGATGAAAACGAGGACCGAAGCCACGATGATCCCGCCGATGATGATGATCATGGTCCCGCCGAGGAACTGGGCCCGTAGAGAGCGGCAGTGCTTGTATTCTTCGTGCGTGGTGAACTGCACGCACCCGATCGCCCGAGTGGCCGTGAGAGAAGTCAACCCGTCGTCGTACACTGCGAGGACACAGAGGTCGTACTCCCGGCCTGCCACCAGATCGGTCAGGAAGAAGGATTTGCTGACGGCCGGGATCATCCTGAAAGGCAAAATAGATCACATAAACCCCCTGAAAGGCAGCGTGCCGTGAAAAAGTGCTTTGCCGGGTCAAAAGATTCTGGTCCACAGAGGGACCCTGCCCTCTTTGGCATGGACCCTAAGGTAACCCTGTGGCATGGACCATATATCTGTGCTCTCCCATTATTGGAGAAACACTACAAGGAATTGGCACTTGCGGAGTTCCGGTGCATAGCAACTAACCCACAGCGATCGGATGTTAACGTAAAGATTACTTGACAGTGAACTTTAAATATAATTTCTCTTTTTTTAAAAAAAAGAACATAACGGCCAGACTGGGTCAGACCCAAAGGTCCATCTAGCCCTGCGTCCTGTCTGCCCACAGTGGCCAACGCCAGATGCCCCAGAAGGAACGAACAGAACCGGGAAACATCCAGCGATCCCTCCCCTATCGCCCATTCCCAGCTTCTGACAAACAGAGGCTAGGGACACCCTCCGTGCCCATCCTGATAGCCACTGAATCAAATAGAATGAACTTGGACTAGGGTTGATCCTCAAGAAATCTGACAGAAAAGAGGTAAGATGGAGAAATTTGGAGTATTGCTCTGTTTTAGCACAGCTACGTCAATGCGTAAGGTTGAAAACTAGAAGGCAACGCTACTGGAAACGCAACTGACGATCGCCCTTTTCTGTTAAAACCTAGCGAGAATGACACGAGTTTACAGGGATGAAGACTAAAACACCCTTGATGGAGTTCCCAGTTATAACACTGACTTTGATTTTCCATACCCTCTGCTCTCTGTCTCCCACCCCCTCCTTTTTTTCCCCTTCCCCGCTCCGATTTATTTTGGGTCTGCACATCCTAAACTCAAAGCTCTGGTCATCTGAAGAAGTGGGCTGTGCCCATGAAAGCTCATGATCCCATCTCCATGTTTTGTTAGTCTATAAAGTGCTACAGGACGATTTGTTGTTTTAAAAATTAATATCATACAAATAACGCTGTTGTTTGGAAAAATACAATCTGTAACTCGGAATCACAACGCAAAGGGTACATCCACACGGGGGTGCTATTTTGGGATACTTCCACAAATAACGCTGTTGTTTGGAAAAATACAATCTGTAACTCGGAATCACAACACAAAGGGTACATCCGCACTGGGGTGCTATTTTGGGATACTTCTGGGATCTGGAAATGGCTATTCCACGTCTTGACAGCGCACCCGTTATTTCACAATCGCTTTCGAAATAACAGGCGTGCTAGTCCGGCGTCCCTGAAAACTTCGTCCCATGAGGATTAAGGGACATTTCGGAATAGAGGTGTACGTTGGCATTTGGCGCCATGTAGACAGCGCCAAATTATGAAATATATTATTTTGAAAGACACTCGACATAAGCTACGTCATGAGGATTAAGGGACATTTCGGAATAGAGGTGTACGTCGGCATTTGGCACCGTGTAGACAGCGCCAAATTACGAAATATATTATTTTGAAAGACACTCGACATAAGCTACGTAAGTTGCGTAGCTCAAATTGCATAGCTTATTCCGAGCGAAGGGTGCCGTGTAGACGTGGCCGCAGAGTTTACACTGCCCTGAATTCGAGGCATGAATGTTCTCCTTCAGGTGGAGAACAGGTTGATTTTAAAAGGGCCAGCGTAGTGTAGACTCCTTCATTCCCAATTCGATCTCACACCAAATGTAATCCCTCGACCTCATTTAAATAAAGATGTCCGCCGCTTTTTTCCGGCTTTTAGAAAAGCCGGAAAAGAGCGTCTACACTGGCCCCGATCCTCCGGAAAAAAAGCCCCCGCGGATTTCCCTATTACAATCTGAAAAATTAGGTAGAATACGGCTGACAAGAATTCATAGAGTTAAACCAAAATCCAGATTTTAAAACCAGGCATCCCTCCCTTGCTGCAGACTGAACTGCACACAAAGAGGGAAAAAGCACGCATATCGCAGCTCAATCACACTGCTTTTCATGCAGCGACCGTAAAGCAAGCGTCACGTTTGCTATATTGAGCTGACAACATGTCACTTCTGCCTCGAGGATGAGTGTTCATCTCTTTCATCTCGGGCATTTTACCCCTTTCTTAATAATAAATGAGAATTATTTATTTTAATTCGTATGTTGCTCGATTAAAAAACAAAAGGAAGCTTACACCACTGGCTTTTTCACGCTCTCTTATCGTGTTTCAATGATCAATATCGACACATCACTATTCAATATTTATTGATCTATTAATTTATAGCATGCATGTGTGGCTAATTAAAGTTAGATGATCACTGGATGTAAAAACATCAAATTCTTCCTAAGAATTTATTCTATGAAATCCAATTTCTCTAAATTGATTAAACACATGTCAGATTGTACTGAATGGTTATTCATTTGCTTACTGCACCACAATATCAACTCTGAGGTTATTGTCTTCACTTGGGGGACGAACCCGCTCCTACGATTGATCTTCTGGAGCTTGATTTAGTGGGTCTAGTAAAGACCTGCCTAATTGAACTCAGAGGGGCCCTCATCAGCAGCTGGTGCTCCTCTGAGGAGTAAGGGAAGCCGATGTGAGTGTTTGCTCCTGTCGACCTCCCGCTGTGGGGACAGCGAGGAAACTCAAATGAAGGTACGTAGATTCCGGCGACGTAATTAACATCGCTGGAGTTGCATATCTTAATTCGACCTTCCCCTTTCGTGTCGACCTGGTTGAGTCGGGATGGGTCCTACTTTGGGCGGGGGGAGGGGGGGTGGACTCGATGCCTCCTGAGGGCTCTTCCCGCCTCAGAATTCTCTGAGCACCCTCCTTGTTTTGACAGAGCCTCCTTACGATGGAATAATCACCTTCCCCCACCACACCCCACCCACCCACACATACATCCCCACGAAAAGGAAGCTCGTATCAAGGCCACAGACCCATCTGAGTCTCCTTCTCTGCTCTGTCCCATTCAGCCCCTCCTCTCTTTCCTTTTCGCCTCCGTTCCCCATGCTGAACGTTTTGCCCGCTAGTGTGGGGACGGTGGTTCTGGCTTTCCCCCTCTTTCACTCGCTGCCCAAGACTCACGGAGGGTGCTCGGGCGAAGGGCTCTGTTGTGTGCCAACACCCCCCCTTAATTCCTGAAACAAAGCTGGTGCCAAAGCCCCCGCCCCCTCACCCTCTATTTCTGGGGAAATAATACTTGCAACAAACTAAGCGCACACACAGATTTCTCCTTGCGTCTCGACACAGCCCAGCACCTCCCGCCCAACCTCGGCCACCACCCAGGTTGGTCGGCAACCCCGCTCTCATCTAGGCCCTGCCCCCCACACAGTCATCGGCAAGATATCAGCCCCAAGTCTGACAACTGGCTTCACTGGCAGCAAGGGAGGGTGAGGTTGGACATGAGGAAAAGCTTCCTGCCTGGCAGGGTGGTGAAACACTGGAATAAATTGCTTGGGGAGGTTGTGGAATCTCCATCCCTGGAGATACCGAAGAGCAGGTTGGATGGACAAGGATCGGGGATGATCTAGACCAGCCATGGCCAACCTGCAGCTCATGAGCCACATGCGGCTCTTCCCGTCCCCCCTCAGTGCGGGAACCTGCAGAGGCCAAAAAGTATAGAAATGTGCATCTCGTGTTTCTTAAAGGGATAGGCCTTTTTATTTTTTTTGCTCTACAAAAAAATGGAGGGGCAGGGGACGGGACTCAATGACCTCTCCCATTCTAGGGTTCTATGACTTAGCCACGTTATACTCCAACAAGACACAGTTAATATATAAATAGGGCCCCACCTCCCTCAGGCTCTCCCTGGCTTTCAGGCAGGTGACCCGAGAGCACACAGCTGCTATGGAAATGAGGTACTGATGGCAGAGAACCAAAGATCCCGCCTCCTCTCCCGCAGAAGCCAGCAGAGTGCTCCCTCAGCTACCTGCTTTGCTGGGCGTCCGGCTAACGAGACGTACAAACCCTCCTTCTCCAACCACCGGTCTTGGCGCCACGTGCTGTACTACGAGAACAAACCTAGGCAATACACCCGCCATTCTCTAGGCAACAGCAACAACCACGCGGGGAGGGGAAGCGCTGTGCATGCTAGTCGTTTCGAAAGGACAGCTGGTGTTGAATTGTTCCTCCAGGGCAGGGCTACGGCCAGTGAGGTGGTTGGGATTTACATGGGGCTCAACCGTCGGCCCACGCGTGGGATACGCTGAACGTGGCCTCTCCTGGGAACATGCTCCACAACGGGGAAGGAATCTCCTAAGGGGGTGAGCTTTGAAAGACGCAAGTGGACGGGCTGGGTGGAGCAGACAGGTGCAGGGTGTCAGCGTTTTTACCCCCCAGGGAGGAGGTGCTGGGAGAACCAATGCATTGTGGGAAATGCTGGCTGCTTAGCCTTGTGGGCAGAGCCAGAGAGGGGCTGACTGGCTCCCACTGGCCACGTTTGGGTCCGGTGCCGTGGCCGGGCAGCCCTGCCTCCGTCCCACCCGGCGCGATGGACTCCTGCGTGGAGACATCAGCCCTGCTGGGAATCCTGCACCTGCCCTTTTTAGCCTCTCGTGTCCAGCCTGGCTCAGCAACCCGCCCGCCGCAGGTTGGAGCACTCCGGCTTGGAAACGTTTTCTGAGTAAAATCACCCCAAGAAACGCACCAGCTGAAACTCCGGCTTGGAAACGTTTTCTGAGTAAAATCTCCCCAAGAAACGCACCAGCTGGAGCTTCAAGCTAAACACCCAAAACACTGGTGTCCGGTTTTCTTTTGAGAAGGGCTCATTAAAAGTGCCGACACAGGGGTGGAAATTGAGTCACTATTGCATTTTAGGAATATCAGCAGAACTGACTTACACAGGATGGGGCCTGTGTGTTGTGTGGTCTTGCCTTCAGCTTTGTATTCATGCCCCTCAATGTGAAAGAAGCAATTTGCATATATTTGCATATATATTTGCATGTCTGTGCAACCACACTTAAGCTGAGGCCCTCGGCATGTGCTGGATGTCTGTGCAACCACACTTAAGCTGAGGCCCGTGGCATGTGCTGGGAATATCACTGTG